TCTCGCAGGCGGCGATATACCCTAAAATATTTACCCATGAGTTGGGGGTTAATTGCCAGAGACCTAGGCCATACCCCCTAAGTATGGCTTTTATTGTGTCGTGGAGAGGGAAGCGGACTCCGGCCACAAAGGCCGCCTCGTAGCACCCGAACCAAGCGTTCGCGTTCGGTTGTCCATCCTCCCACCATATTGTTCCCAGAGCAGCCGGGATTTTTATTGTATAGTCACCCCCCAACGGCCGCCGTTTGATAAAATCTGGCAGCGCACCCCGCATGAGCTCGCGGTCCTTAGAGGAGACGGCGATCATGAGAGGATCGTTCCTATTATCCCAAGAAGGCCTCTCCGCCTCCTCGCTATCCTCAGATTCGGTTAAGTAGCTGCTACTGCTACTTTGAATGTGACCGGCATCAGAGCCGGCTGGGGAGTTGGAGACCTCCTTATCAGAGCCTACCTGCTCTCTGGTCTCCTGGAGGGGAGCAGTCTCTTCGTTTAAAATGCTATCACCCGGGGTGCTAGGAGCGCCCCCGGGTGAGCCTCTCTGCTCTACCTCTCCTTGCTCTACTTCACCGCCTGAAGCTGGGACCTCAGGCGGCTGCTCATCTGAGCTCCCACTTCTGTAGTTGGGATCTCTGGCAGTAGACCGGATTCTGGCCATTGTGTCCTGCACAGACACAGAGTCGGTCGATATGGGTGTTGAAAAAGGGTTGTCCCAAAGAACAGAGGCGGCAGACCCAGTTCTAGACTCAGCCGTACTAATAAACCGGCTGAGTTCACAGCTAGGTTCCGGGTATGGGTATAAGGGGTCCATCTACTTATGGGACCAATGAACAAAAATGCGAGTAAAAGACTCAAACGGAAATACATGAAAAAGCTAGAAAGAATAAAGACGGTACCTAGAAGAAAATCTGGAAATTCTTTGGGATGCTTGCGAAGACGCAGGCGGTTCAAAATCCGGCTGGGTTTCTCTGATTACCCTCTCGAAAACCTTTGGCTAGCTTGCAACGACCCAGACGGTCTGTAGACCGGTTGCTCTCAACGAATCTCAACTCCGAATGCTCTCAACTCTCAAATTGTCGGCTGCTCTCAAATTTTCAGAAATTTGGCAAAGTTTGTAAATGAGAGCTCGGGGGACATCTTCTCCTATTTTTAGAATTTGTCCCAGAAGGTGAAAAGTCGTGACTCTTCGCCTTCTGCTTTTCCATCCTTCAAAAAGAATCTGAAGAGTTGTAAAAAAAAAAAAAAAAAAAACCTTTCACCGGCGCCACGTGGCACCCTGCCACGTCAGCACCAGTGAGGGGCAAATGTTTGGGGTAAAAATACCCTAAACACGTGGCCCAATGGCCTAGTGACACGTGGCATCCAGCCGTTGGTCAGCAGGGCTCCAATCCTCTGCTGACACGTGTCCTCTAAACCCTAAAAGGGAAACCATCCCTTCCCCACTATAAATAGTGGAAGGACCCTCATTAATGGGAGGCTGGAACATTTGTTGTTCACATTGAATACTCCTCAAAAAGAAAAACACTTACCCCGAGCAATATTAATTGCAGAATTCTCCCATTACGCGAGAAGTAACTTCTACATTACGTGCATTCTACCTCCCGTATCTTTACTAACTTGATCGTCGGAGGCGGAGCTCCTACCCCTAGGAGTCTTCGTGATTTTGCAGGCACAGGCGTCGAAGGGCATTCTTGGAATTGTAACTCTCCCGCAGGACACATCAAAAAACCCCGAAACAATGCAAGTGCATATATACAACAGAACAAATATGTAAACAAACTTCTCCTAATTTAAGCAAAATATTGAGTATATCAGTATCTCCTAATATGGTTAAGTATATCTTCTAATTTTGGGAGATACATCTTCTAGGAAAAATATATCTTCTAATTATACAAAATACAGAATAATCATGGTTATCAGTCTTATCCCTGTTAACAACATTTTTGGAAAACAGAAAAAAAAAATACAAAAAAAAAAAAAAAACCCTTTATAAAACTATGAAATAAAAATACCCATACCCATAATAACCTAAGTTAATTTTAAAATGAAAAATAAACTTTTTACATAATGAAAAAAGAAATAAAAATGGAATATTAAAGGATACGAGTACTAATAAATTGAAATATATAAATGGAAACTTCATTTAAAAATCACCATGAATTATATAAACATTTAAATCACCAATTTACTCATATATTCAAATTCACGGAAATTATAATCAACAATATTTTTGAAAAACATTACATAGAAAAGTAGATTTGACGTGTAACATAGGAGGTAGAATAAAATTATAATACCAAGTATACTTTTTAGATGCAATAAAATTATAATATACTTAGGCCCTGTTCTCTTCACCTTAATTTTGCTGAACTGAAATTATTTTTATTGAACTGAAATTATTTTTGCTGAACTTAAATTATTTTTACTGTACTTAAATTAATTTTACTGAACTGAAATTATTTTTGCTGAACTGAAATTACTTTTACTGATTTTCAATTATAATTGTTTTTTTAAGAAAACTGAATTTTACTAAAATGAACTGAATTTTACTGAACTGAAATTAATTTTACTGAACTGAAATTATTTTTACTTAATATTATTTGGTGAAGAGAACAGGGCCAAGATCCTTAATTATTTATAATGTACTTAAGTTTCCAAAATTGTCTCCATAAAAAATAAAAGAAAGTTCCAAAATTGTCAAGTTTAAAAGAAAACACCTTAATTCACGTGTAACATATGAAGTAGAATAATATTATACGTATTGTAATTATTAAGCCAAATTGACAAAACTATTGTTGACTTAATTACAATATCCAAAAAAAATCCTCAACGTAGATTTGACATGAAAAAAAAAATCACATTCATTTAACAAAGGAAAGTTATTTGGTCAAAAAAAAAAACATTGGAAGTCTTCCAAAAAAAAAAGGAAAATATAAACTTTTTAATAATTTTCTACTAATAATTTAATCAATATATAAGGTCAACATAGTGTAATGTCATATTTGTTAAATCTAACTATGTCAATTATTTAGTAATGGTCGAATGGAGGGTATATTTATGGAATTCTCTCGTGTTAGAAGACAATTAATCTAGTGGCCAATGGACATTTTTTAACGGAGTCTTACAATCATTAAGCATGACCTATATAATAAGGTGCATGAAACATCATTAATGAGTGTTGCCACCTGAGATTCTCTCAGAAATAGTCCATACTTATTATTTAATTATTTTTCCTTTTTTAAATAATTTTTAAATGCATTTTAATTAGTATCTCTCTATTAATCACCTGTCCTTTTCTTTTATTCAATTTCACTTCAATCAAAATCCCCAAATCAAACCCTAAATAGATTTCTGAAATTGAGCGACTAAAATTACCACGAGCTCGAGCTCAACCTCTTGTTCATCGTTCAGGAAAAAAGCAAACAATCATTGGTGGTCATGGTAGGATGTTTAGCGAGCATAATCTGCCTACAATTGTGAAAAGTGTTTGAAAGTCTAATAAAAATCCAGGAAAACGATTTTATGGATGTCCATAAAGAAAGGTACATACATTCCAATCGCATTTAAAAATAAATCAAAAGGAAAATTAATAAATTTGTAAAAATAAATTTAATTTCAGTACAATAATAATCAATAATTTTATTCTTCCTTTTCAAATGAGAAAATTCAAATTCACCTCTGAGATTAATGTGTAAATATATCTCCTCTCACAATATACGTACGAAATCATGGGACAAAGCTCGCGACGGTGTAAAAGGTGGACGAACGAGGAAGAAGAAGATAGACTGAGTTCACTCCCCGATGCCATTCTCAATGACATTCTCTCTCGCCTCTCAATCCATTCCGCCGCCCCACCTCCGTCTAATTCCACTGTTGGCGCCACCTCTGGACCAACATCACCTGCCTCAAACTCGGTGTTCACCCACCTCAAATAGTAGTGGTTCACAAATAATCGTAAAATATGAACATTTAAAATTGGATGTTTATGTTCATTTTTTGTGATGTGTTCATATTTTTTTAAAATAATTTTTTTTTTTTTTTTTTTGTAAAATGTTCATATTGTAGACGTGGTGCACCTATTTCTATGCCATGGTATACATAATAACTATGGATTACCATAATTACATACTCCCTCCGTCCCTTATTGATAATCCCTTATGGGCAATTTTCACGGGAATTAATAAACATAAATAAAAGCAGTAAAAGTAAATTGAAAAGAAAAATTTACATTGGGTATGCAAAAAAGTAGAGAGAAAAAGTAATAAAAGTATATAAGAAAGCAAAAATTAATATGGAAAAGTTAAATTTGCACAAATATTGTTACAAATTGAAGGGAATTATAGTAAAAATTTGATATTAATGGTACTTTAAAAAAAGCAAATGGGACTATCAATTTGGGATTAATAATTGACCATAAGGAACTATCAATAAGGGACGGAGGGAGTAACATATTATGAGTAGCACTTGATCTAAGCCTAGTAAGAAGGCCATTTAAGGGTCTGTTTTCTTCAGCTTATTTTCAGTTCAGTTTAGTTCAATTCCAATAATTTCAGTTTAGTTCATTTCAACTCCAATAAGTTCAACTAAGTTCAGTCAATTTGAACAGACCCTAAGTTTAAAACAATAAGTCAACATCTATAAGGATTACAAGTACTACAGTACAGTTAATACATTTTATTATACTATTTAAGTACTTAGCATACTACAAAAGTTCAGCAAAAATAAAAATAACTCGAGTTTTAAGTCCAAACCAGATCATCCGGTTTAGACTGGGCCAAAAATCCAAAATCTTCATTTTCTTGTACATTGGACCAGACTGAAATCCATTGATCTAATCCGATCCATTCCAAGTCTAAATACGGTTGGACCGATTTATGCACACCCCTAGACCCAAGACCCAGCAGTTAGAGATCATACATTCATACTCACTTGATTTTGACTATTTGTTGGTCAAAGGAAATTGACTAGATAGTGGATACCCTCTTTTCTCTTGCCTTCTTTTTTTGACGAAACGAGAAGATCAAAAAAATACTGAGAGATTAGTGATACAAATCTTGAGAATGGGTGATAGCAAAATCCTGAAACACTACATCAGAAAACGAACCAGAAGATCAACCGAAGAAGACAGATTGAGTTCACTTCCCGACGCCATTCTCACCGACATTCTCTCTCTCCTCCCAATCAATTCCGCCGCCACCACCTCCGTCTTATCCCACCGTTGGCGCCACCTCTGGACCACCGTCACCCGCCTCCAATTCACCACCGTCGCCCACATCTTCCGGCAACTGACTCATCGGAATCATCTCCGCATCATTAATCTCGACTTTTCAAAGTTATCCTACTACCTTAACTTTGATTTATTGAATTCGTACTTTCGTCAATTTTCCCGCCAAAATGTGGAGGAAATCAGTATCGAGTATACAATTTCAGAAGGGTATTATCGTGTACCTTCTTGTTTGTTCAATTCCCAATTTCTGGTAGTTTTGAGATTAGAGGGTATGTTTAAGCTGGAAAAACCCCTTAATAATCTAGGGTTTCAACTTCCTAATTTGAAGAAGCTTGTATTGTGTTACATTGTTCATATTCCTTTTTGGTTTGAAACTCTATTTACGTCTTGTCCATTGTTAGAATATTTATGTTTGCATGTCGAATTATTGGAACCCAAGAATGCGCCTTCTCTATGAGAGTGAGGGGTAGCTCAAGTGGTTAGAGCTTCACTCCTGGTTTCAAGAGATCTTGGGATCGATTCTCACCCTGTGGCTCTCTAAACACCAAAAAAAAAAAAAAAAAGAATGCGCCTTCTCTGAGAATATCTGCTCCCAATTTGAAGTCATTCTATATACATATATTGGGGTTTTCGAGTATGATGCAACGTGCCAAAATATATTTTGATGCACCCAAATTGGAAAATCTTAGTATAAGTGATTGCACTTCATTTTACTACTTTATCCGATATCCAACTACATTAGTCAATGCAGAGATCGACTTGAGTAAATGGATAGATGATGATGAAGCTGATGAGGTTGACGATGAAGATTATCTTCAGCATATGTGCAAATTTGTTGGCAAAATGTTTAGTGTTAGCCATCTTAAGCTAATGGCAGACAGGGATACTAATATCTTGCCTTACCTTGATTATGGGGGTGATGCGTATCTACCAATCTTTCGTAATCTAATTCATCTTGAAACAGGCTTTACTGATGTTGGAATGAGTGGTTGGACTGATTTGCTATATTACTTGCAATGCTTTCCCAACTTAGAGCATCTTAAGGTGGATATGACCGTTGATCCCCCCTATGCACAGAGTATGTGGTGTGATGTACATTCTATTCCAAATTGTTTGGTGAGTAAGCTCAAGACTATAGAGATAGGAAGACTTAAGGGGACTAGCAATGAACTCGAATTATTGGCATACATTTTGAGTAATGCAAATGTTTTGGAAAAGCTTCGGTTACATGTTCATATCGAGGAAAAATTTGATCTCAAGGATGTACTACAAAAGGCATATGAAGTGTGGAAAGAATGTCAGTTTTATAAGGCAGTGTTTGAGCTTCCAAGGAGCTCTTCGACTTGCGAAGTTGTGGTGTCAGGTAGATCTGTATCAGCATCAGGTAATGCCTTACAAAATGGATACCTAACCAGTCAAATTTACATGGGTCCATCAACTTGATATATGCAACTAAGTGTTTTCCAAAATGACAACATATAAGCATATGGGAGAACTGCTAAAGGTATTGACTACTGATCAGTTTGTCTTAATTTTGTAGTTTGGTAACTTTTTTTTTGAGAACTTGTAGTTTGGTAACTTTGATTCACCTAAAAGATGCCTCTTTAAATGCTAGGTTTTGGTTGCAAAGGTATATTGTGCTGCAATGCATTTGTTTTCTGGTTTATTCTAAATGTTAACTTCTACTATTACTCTGTATAATGGTGATTACAAAATCCTAGTCATATCATTTTTCTATATGAATATTATGAATCTCTCGGCATATATATGGAAAGAAAAAGGAGCAGTGAGAATGCAAAAGCACTATAGCAATTAATTATTGGATGCAGATGCTTGAATTCTCATGAAAGATCTATAGTCATGTAAGTAATTAAAGGGGGGAAAAAAATCAATAATGCTAACTGAGCTTGTGTTCACATTCAATTATGACTTTGCTTGTCGTTTTATTTTGATGTGAAGTTTGAAGGACCTTTATAAAGGTGAGGAAAAAAAAAGAGCAAGTTGAGTGCAAAGCTTCCTCTTATAATAGTTTAGTAGTTTAGAACCTTTAGATCCTTGAATTTTCTTCATATCTTATGCTTGTTTGATAAAATTGTAGACTAGCTTAGAACATCTCCTCTTTTCTTGCAATTCTGACTCTTTCCATCAGTAAAAATCACACTTCTAAGTCTTTCTCTTTCTTTTCTCTTCTCTGTTTTGTTATGGTTGACCTTGATGATATATTGTATATTGTTCTACATAATCTATACAGTTTATGTCTAGAACATAATGGGTTTACCAATGACAAGCAAGTTCAGTACCATATAGCCACAGCTGAAATTTGCTATTCATGAATTGTATTATCGAGTCAAAGATGAAAGCAGTAGCAGTCATCTGATTTCAGAGGGTTTTGTTGTTTAGTCTACTCTTACAACTAATCCGGAATAGAAGTTACAATTGATTGGTGAGGGTGACTTGTAGAAACAAAAATAAGCCTATTTTACGCCATAGATTGTCTTTTAACACTGAAGTGTAACTTATGTCTTATTGATAAGGTCAGAAATCATTTTGCAGAAAATGGAATGAAACTAACTCAACCTGTTTTTACATGAACCTCTTGGTGTTAAAATGATGCATAAGAAAAGAAGTTTATCGTGTTGCTTAAACTCACCCGGTAATATACTTTGTAACACAACACAGCTTTTTTTGCACTTTCTAAACCCCTCATAAGCAGGTTGCAATTCTTGTTATCCAGCACAAGGTCTTCTCTTAAACAAAAGTAGTACTTATTAATTAGCTGAGGCTTTGCCAAAATTACTGTTGGGAAATTGATTGATGAGAATATGAGATGGTGACAATGGAGCTTTTGCATGGCTTTCCAGGTTGTAGGGTGAATTGACAGTGCCTAAAATTACTTCAATTCATTCAATTGTGATACTTAAGCTGCCTTTTACATTGCTAAAAGTCCAGTTTTCCTTTGCATGTATCTTGCTAATGAGGCTAGAATGCGATATAATTGCACATTTAAATTAAATATCCTGATTAAGCTGATTTTTCCTGTTTATATGTTTGATTGAATTTAATTTTTCTCCTAGTTAATTATATTGGCATAGAGATCAAGGATTTAGCTCAAACCGCTGACAGGGGAGTGAGGGTTGATGCAAAAGAAAGATTATCTTCTGAGGAAAGGGGCGGGTATCAGGGTATGAACTAAGGGGAGGGTGGAAATTAGATACATATCATCTGGTAGTTGATCATCATAAGCTTAATTTGTTATCATCTCCCTGTTATAAACTTGTACAACTAATTAATCAGAGCTATTCCCCGGCCAGCAGGGCAAAAGAATATCAAATTAAATCCTTCTTACTTCTCTGCCTTGTTTCTTGTCAATTCTTTTAAATCTCTATTTGAGTTATGACCTAGTTTTAATACTTGTGGCGAGATAAATAAGTTTAACTTTATATATATATATAAAATGATAAGTAAAAAAGATATATATATATATATATATATATATATATATATATATATATATATATATATATATATATATATATATATATATATATCTTATGAAAAATTATCAAATCATCTAGACTAAAAACAATCTAATATATATATATATATAATATATATATATATATATATAAAGGGGAGTTTTTTCCCGAGTTTTTAGAGAGCCACATAGGATCTAATTTTCTTAGTGTGACATATAGAATTATAAATTTTAGTAGTAACCAATTAAATATGAGATTATTAAAATCTTTTATAATTAAATAATTCAAATGCCACGTAAGCAAAATTGGCGAATGAGATTTTCCAATTTAAATTAATTAAATATAAAATATTATCTTTTGATATTAGGAATTTTATCTAAATATATAATAAATTTTAGCACATAAATATATGTATAAAAAAATTATTTTTAAAAATTCAAACAAACCGTACATCGCACGGGCTTCATCTAGTATTATCCATAATCATAAATTGTACTTCGTATGTGTTTGTATGCTTATGGAACTAGTATCCAACATCTATAAATTAATTATTCTACCTCCAAAATTTCACATATTCTCTTTCTCAAAAAAATTTCACATATTCTCTTTCTCAAAAAAAATTTCACCTATTCTTTCTCTTATAATAATTATACAGTAGCACGGTTTGTTACATAATAAAAATTATGAAGATCATAATTGTAACATTGTCAATAATTTTGGAGATCCTAAACCTAAAGTCTGTTACCGCAGCTTACAATTATTATGATGTGGTAACCCTTGGGGCAAAACCCAATTCGAATTCGGACTCTTCTAAGGCGTTAGAGGCGGCTTGGAATATAGCTTGTGATTCAACGGGCGAGTCGACAATTCATATTCCTGAAGGAGAATACTTTGTTCCAAAATCCCTTAAGTTTTCTGGAAAGGGATGTCGAAATAGTAAGATTAATTTTGTTATTAACGGAACCCTTAAAGCCCCTAGTGATTTTCGAGTGCTTCAAAACTCAAAAACATGGGTGTTATTTGAGCATGTCAATGGCCTTACACTTTCTGGTGGAGTGTTTGACGCAGCAGGAGCTAAGTTATGGAATTGTAAGAGATCTGGAAAAGAAGCATGTCCTCGTGGTGTGGAAGTAAGTTATTTATTTTCTACATAAAGTAATGCTCTAATTTAACTAGTACGTACTTATTATATATTATTTTTACATTAAAGATGTTTATATGTTATTTGATCTCAGTCCTAAAATTAATTATGTGACTCGACATAGTACTCAAAACGTATTTAAATTAAAAAGACGTTAGGGCCACACAAATTAATATTTAATTTTAAATGAATTATATTAAAAAAAAATTAATTAGTTTTATTTAATCTTTTACCTTCTAGCATTATTAGTTGTGATTATGAATTTATTTTTTTCCGCAAATTAATATTTAATCTGTTTAACATAACCCTATCTATTTTAATGAAAAATAACTTTATCTTTTATTTTATTATCACATGCTTTAAAATAATAAACTGATTTATTTATTTTTATTAATCTACAGAATATATTAATCTGTATTTTTATATTAATACAACGATTTTTTTTGAATTGCAGAGTTTAGGTTTTGTAAATTCCCAAAATATTGAAATAAATGGTATAACCTCATTAGACAGTCAGTTGTACCATATTGTTATTGATGATTGTCAAAACGTGAAAGTAGAAGGTGTTACGATTTCTGCCTCGGGCCATAGTCCTAACACCGATGGTATTCATGTACAATCATCAATTAATGTTACAATATCGAGTTCGAACATTGCTACAGGAGATGATTGTATCTCAATTGGACCGGGAACTAAAAATTTTTGGATTCAAGATATCACATGTGGTCCCGGTCATGGTATAAGTATTGGGAGTTTAGGAAAAACATTACATGAGGCAAAAGTTTACAATGTCACGGTACAAACGTCAACTTTTATTAATACGGAGAATGGGGTGAGAATTAAGTCTTGGGGAAGACCAAGTGATGGATTTGTTAGCGATGTTGTGTTTCAGCATCTCACAATGGAGAATGCTCGAAATCCAATTATCATCGACCAAAACTATTGCCCCAATCATAATGATTGTCCTGGAGAGGTATATTAACTATATTTTTATGTTCAATATGTTATTTAAATTTTTTATTTTAAATCTTATAAAAATGATTTTTCTTATTTTTTGTGAATAGGTTTCTGGAGTAAGAATAAGTAACGTAACATATGATGATATCCATGGATCATCTGCAACATCGATTGCTCTGAAATTTGATTGTAGCTCAAAACATCGTTGTTTGGATATAATATTGAAGAATATAAAGTTGACTCACGAGAACAAGCAAGCCTCTTCTTTTTGTAACAATTGTGAGGGATCAACTTTTGGAAATATTCAACCTAAAAGTTGTTTCAATTGATTTTTTATATACAATATGTAGTTTGCTTATACGTTTAATGAATATTGTGAAAAACACGTTTGGATTATAAAGTTTAAACCCTCAAAGTTGAATACATACCCCTCTAGTTTTTATGAACTCTTATCTTACCCAAAGAATACTTTTTCATATTACATAATTTGTAAGAGCTCCATCAATTTTATTTAAAGGGCCTGTTCAAATTAAATTTTATGGAAATTTAATTAAATTAAATTTTATGATCACAAGTGATAAACGGACTCCTTCCTCTGCTCCACTTTAAAGTCATGTTGAATTACCGCGAACCTGATGTGCAGCATCAGCCATCACTATCTAGTTAGAGAAGTTTTTCTGACTACGCTGTGTTCAAGATTGTCATGTTAATTACTTAACCACCAGTACATGCAACCTGAAATGTCTACCCTGTTAGCACATCCACGGCTATGATTGTGGCGCTGCAACCACCAATCAGGATTCCCATCTAAACTTTAAAGAAATTAATAGCCAAAGCACTTGCAGTGAGCTCAAAAATGATCTGCAGTGTTTGCATTGTGTCCTGTTGATGCTCTGTCTAGACCATCATCTGTAACTTGCTGTCCTCTGCTGGTTTGAGTACCTCTAAATAGTTAAAACCTCACTCTTTGTTTCTTTGTTTAACTTGATGTCTTACTTTTTGTTTGTGGAACCATATTTG